AGAGAGTCTGTCGAAGATGCTTGCAGGGCCAGGCTTGCCGTGGGTGCCAATGAGAGACTTGACATTGCGGTCAACCAAGGCTTGGAAGTCCTTCATGGAGAACTGGGGAGCATCCATTGACGTTGTCTGGGTCAGATTCCTCAGCACAATCACCGCGTCGTCAAGTTTGAGCCTGCAAAAAGTGTGCCGCGGCTGGAAAGAGTCAGCAGCTGACGTATTCGCAGCATTATTCTCTGCAGTCACCTTTAGGTCTTGGACTGGAATGTCTAAGGAGCGGATGAAGCTGATTGTTTGCGATCTGAAGTCGGACAGAGCGTTCTTATAATCATCGGCCGTGGACTCTGGCTCGCGGAGTGGAACGTCAACCTTCTTCAGCTTCTCGGATATCTTGAGGACTTCGTCGAGATGCACCTTGGATACCTTTTCAGTGTCGACGACTGCGGACTCCTCCTTGTTTCGGGCTTCTGCGTGCGAAATTAGTTGGGGCTTGGCATTGGTCAACGTTCCCTTCTCTATGTTTGCGTTATTGAGGAGGGTAATCGCCAAAACTTCACCTATCTGCGAAGAAGAAGAAGTGTTGGCGTGCAGCTAGTGCTTGGCTGCCAAACCTCGGAACCTCGAGACGAAGCTGGAGAGCTTCTCGTTCCTGTCTCGGCGACACGAGGTGACCTTCTGGTATGATGCGATGAGCCTCGTGACCATGGCAATCGGTGGGTCTACAGCAACAAGCTCGAGAATGGAGAGTGTCGCCTGCACGTGATCGTCAATCTGAAGGTAGTCGAGCTGTCCTTTGGACTGGGCTTCATCGACGATTGCCTTCTGAGCTTCCGGAAGGCCGCGCTCATAGAGCGTCCGTCCGAGGAGCTTGAACATCGTCTGAAAAGTGCGATCGGTGCCTTGGTCGTGGGCGACTTGAAGTGAGTCGACCCACTGTCCAACCTTCTTGCGCCAGGCTTCAAGATCGCCATCGGCGGCGAAGAGAGGCGGGTCGAAGAATCCTGATAATTTACTCATCTTTCCCCCTGGGCCCATGACTGTGGAAGAACGGGAACGATGAGGTTAGTAGTAACTGCGCTCGTCGCACGCAGCGGCAGGGGAAAGGAGTCGCGAGGGCGAAGGGGATGGGGATACTTCGGATGTCGAGTTTCGAGACTTTTCCCCGGCGCTGTCGCAGGGTAGCAAGATACCCCGGAGGGTCGGTCGGGATACCGCCCTCGGATTTTAATATATCCGGATTTCCCGCCGGCGCGTTTCCCAGATTTAGGGCTAACTAAATAAACTGCAATTTCTATCTTCCCACAAGATCACAACGCCGCCTTCATCTGCGAACTGTATTGCAGTGACCCTGTACTGTACGCCTGGTCACCGCCGTCGTGGGGCCGCGCTCCCCGCCTTTGACACGTGTACTGTGCGCGCACACTTGGGAAAGTACCCCACGTGTACCACACGTCGCCACATGTGTTCCACACGTGGACACACGTGTATGACAGTCGTATGACACGTATATGTTACGTGTACGACACCTGTACGACATGTATACGTGCGTGGTGCCCAACAGTTTCCACGCTAATTAGCGTCTAATGCCAAGTAGCAATTCTAATGACAGTAATTAATTTTTAATTACCAATTTAGTAACCGACGCCGACAACGGCGCTCGGCCTATATAGGTCGGGTGTCGGAATGAACTACAGTAAAGAGGCATCAGGTGATCGGACTCCATCTCTGGTAGGATCCTCTACGGTTCCTATCTGGTTGGCTAAGTCTGGTACCTCCACCCTTCGTCGTCATCCTTTTTCTTGTTTTTCCTTTACTTTTTTCCCTATTTTCTACGTTTCTACGCTACAATTCTCCTTCCTTCTTTCTTTTGCCTTCTTGTTTTGTTCTTCTTCGACGCTGTCGATAGCAGTCTGCGACGCGACTGCCACATTCACTCCTTCTAGTTACTCGATCCCGAGTACCCCTTCACGCGCTGACGGCGACTCTACCCGCCATTCTCGCGTTACCTCTAAGCTACCACGGACAGAGGGCCCCGAACACCCTGGTGGTGACTGGACATACCGCTTTCCCTCATAGCGAGATTTACGCCCTCGTTGGCGAGTGTGTCCACTGCACTACACGAACCGCGCAGACGTCTTTTTCGTCGCGACTACCTACACACCGCGCGTTGCGTTTCGCGTCTAGGGTACTGGAGTACCCGCCGGCACCGCGCCACCGCCGTCCCCTGCGTGCAGCAAATGAACGTGGGTCCCGTACCGCCCGCACCCGTCGTGCCCCCACGTCTTGTCACCGGGGGCCGTCTTTCTAAAAGGCCGTGCGTCTCCCTGCGAGCGAGCGCGACAGCACGGCGGGCGTGCGGCCCAGCCCCATGCGCGCGTCGATGACGTTGACGCAGCGCCTGTCGGCGACGTAGACGGTCTTGCGTTCCGCGTCTCGGCCGGCTACCGCTGCTTGCACGACCGGCGCGGCCACTCGCCCCGTCGGCGTGCACGCGCCCTTCTGCAGGTCCCACAGCTTGACGCACCCGTCAGGGCCGCCATGGCTCAGGACGGTGGTGCCAGGCCCCCGCCGGACCCAGCGCACGGGTCCGTCGCACCCGCGCAACACGGCCAGCCCGCGGCGGCCCGACGCCAACGGGACGCGCAGGGTCTTGTCCGCGCTCCCGGACACGTCGACGTCCCCAACGCGGGCCACGGCCGTAACGGCGCCGCGGTTCCTATTCATCACGCGGCCGAAGGCGCGTGTGCTTGGGTCGTACAGAGCCGCGGCGTCGTTGGCAAATCCGGCAACCTGTTCGTGCATCGATGCGTGCATGGCAGTAACAGGGTCTGTCTCGTGGGGCGCCAAACGGGTCCAAGTGTCCCTCCGGGCGTGGCAGTGGTGCATGGAGAAGGCAGTGCCGGCGGAAGCGTACAGAGAGGCGTCGCATAAGGCGATCTAGGCCGGGGCGTGGCCCTCCGTGTGCAGGGCGCGAAAGGGGGAGGTGGCGTGCCGGTGGTAGTCGTCGGCCAGGTCGTGTAGGGCGAACGCGGCGCGGCAGGGCGCGGGAATGCGGTGCGGCGGCGGGGTTTGGGGCGGGCGGCGTTGCGGAGGCGGTACACGTTGCGTCAGAGCGGGGTGTTGGTGGCGGCGAGATGGGCGCAGAGGACGCAGTGCGTGAGGGAAAGTGAGAGGCAGTCCTTTTGCGGGAGCAGGGCGGCGAATTGGGCGAGTATATCCCAAGAGAGCGAGGTCAGGGAGGCGCGAGGCGACCACTTTAATGCTCTGTACTAGGCGTCGCCATTGCCAATACATCGACAGAAGCAGCTGAAACTACATCCGGGTCAGAATGACAGCTGGCCCGCGCAGATATTGTACGCGAGGTCGGAGAGTTCTTTTCCTGTAGTAGGGATTGGATGAGCTTCTGTCCCTTTGTTCGTAGAAAAAGTGCTTTCATCTCCTTGTCTTCTGATGTCTCGTCTGGCATAGAAATATGAAAGGCGAGCATTGCGTTGTCGTCTTCCATAGCAAATCCCCTTTCTATTCATGCTCTCTCCTATAAAACGCAAGCATTGAACTGCCTGCCTCTGTCGCAGTGCGATCTCTTCATCTGCTTTGACGGCCCTTCTTCCCTTCATACCGCCTCGCGCCTGAAGTGATCGAGGAGTAGTGGACGGCGTGTCTTCATCGGGAATACCAGGGTTACTCTGGCTGCCAGTGACACTGCGTGTGGCATTTCCGGGATCCTCGTTACTGCCACCACTGCCAATAGAGCCACCATCCTCATTTACATGCCCGTCGCGAAGATCTTGTACGCTGCCTGTAGCAGCGTGCGGTGTATTATTATACTCGGAATCAACAGTATACTCGGAATCAACAGTATAATTTTGGTGCTGATGAAGCACTTTGCATGCTTTGACATAGACCCATTGATTAGCGTCGAAATATTTGAAGTTGTACATGTTCCGTGCCTCTACATTCGTGGACAACGGATTAAACTCTTTCAAGTGCCGGGCAACCGCCATTGTAAATATTTGTCTGCGCTCACACCTGTAGGATTGAACCCACGTACCTCTCGTAGACTCTTGTTGAACTTGGAAACTTCCTTGGATACATCTCCAACCTTCGCTCGAACGGGCAGCTTATCGCGCCTCTTATAGTTTTCATCCATAGAAATGAAGTTCCTGTGAAGCCCTACGCGGAAGGCATCACTCGTCTGGTCAATGCCGAGCACAGGGTTCTCCGTTGTTGCCACCCACTCCTCAGCCAAGTGACCGAGCTCTTTGTACGACCAGTTCGGACCGCGTACCATGACTCCAATTGCTGAGGACAGAAGCGCCACGTGAGATCCCGCGGTGGGCACCCCTCTTCGTCGAAGGAGGTGATTTCGGATGCCTTTTGAGGACCAGCTGTTCTGTTTCGCGAGCGCACATGTAGTTGCTAGCTGGCTTCCCGCCACCCCAGGTGTTTCTACTGTGAGATTTAATCAGAATTAATGGTCTTGCGCCCTAATCAGCTTGTGACGAGCTCGTGGCAATCATCGCTTTGGGATATATCTCGTTTCAAATCGGCCTGATTTGCCACGACAAAAACTCCAAACGCAGATTTAAAATTCGATATACGATGCAATTTGCGTCCTTGTGTCGCGGTGGAGACCAAACTTTACCCTGATTTGGTAAATATCATATTTGGACCGAATTTGCTGCCGCGGTGGAGATGCTCTAAAGAAATAAACAATCGACTTAAAATTAATCTTGTGCTCCAACTTCCTGTAATGCTCCTTGCAATTCTAAAAGATTTAAACCCCATTCAAATATTCGAACATTTCGAAATGATAATCAACGCGCTGCTTGTGCAACCCAGGGTTGCACATGTGGGAAAGCTAGAAAGCAGGATCTACTCTCTTTGCCGTGCCATCATTACCTCCTTTGAAACCTTTGCCCTTCCAGAGCCGTGGAAATGTGGTTACAGCTACAAGTAGCACACGTTGGAGAAAGGAAAGATGCAGAACGACGTTAAATTAATGTCGTGATCGCGTGATTGCGTGATTGCATGATTGCCAATCACGATGAATGGAGTGGCCCCATGGAATTACTCAATTCGGCACTATTGGGCGAGTCCTCTCTGTACTGTAACATGGACTCGGTCCCCGCCCCCTTCTCCGTATCGCCTTATTCCACTTTTGCTTACCATTTTTTGAAACGGCGTAAACCCGCAAAACCAGTATTTTCGGGGGAAATTCAGAACGGCACATGACTCATTTTTGCGGGTTTACCCATTTCATTGATCTTTGCGTATCGCCACCTTATACATCTCATTGCGTGGTGTGCTTCTATCTGCACTATCTTTCTATGGGCTTCTGTCTAAGTGTCTATCGGACCGTTAGTCCTCATATGAGGACAAAACGTATTTTATTTTTTCTCGACAACGCAACTCGCCATTTCACTTCTGTTGCATAGCCCCGTCCCACCTGCGTGCGGGAATTCCATCACGCTGGAATTTGGGTGAAAATTAAGTGAATTCGGTGAATCACCGTCTGTGCGTGAAACTCACCTGCCACCTCACCGGCTTCACTCAAATCTTCACCAACTTCACTCAAATATTCGCTGACCTCACCTAAATCCTGACAAGCCTCACGCAAGCCTCCACCTTCACACCGCTCAGGGACGCCTCAAAACCCCTTCCCTGTTCCCCGTCCGTCCGCAACCCCTCCCCTGTTCCCCGTCCGTCCCCAGCCCCTCTCCTGTTCCCTGTCCGTCCCCAGCCCATCTCCTGTTCCTCGTCCGTCCCGGCCCTCCCCTGAGCACATCCCATATTCCCCGTCCGCCCGGCCCTCCTCCCCTGACCCCATCTCGTGGTCCCCTCCGTCACCCACCCCTTCCCTGAACCCATCCCGTGTTCCCCGTCCGTCCCCCGCCCCTCCCGTGTCCCCCGTCCGTCATCCGCCTCTCCCGTGTTCCCCGTCTGTCACCCGCCCCTCCCCCGTCACCCTCCGCTCTCTGGTTTCCTGCAAAACGAGTCTCCTACGCGCTTTCTGCGCCCTATCGGCGCCTGCAGAGCACAGGGCCCCCACGTCTCACCAATTTGACTGCGCCCTGACTTCGGAGTTCCGCCCCGCCTGTAGCTCCCACACTGCTCCTCTGCTGCGCTGTGACACACACCGGTCCAAGACCGAGACTTTTCTCCCTGTGTGGCGACCAACATTGTGATGACCAACATCGATAGCGCTGGTCCGGCTGTGTCTGTGTTTGAACCCTCTCCTTTCAAAGAGCAAGAAGCAGACGTGCGCAGGTCTGTTTTCAAAGAGTTGCAATGTAATGTATTTTTACCTTAAGTCACTACCTGCGCATTAGTTCATTTGCCGCCAACACGGGAGCGTCCTCGGGAGGATCTCGGCCCCCGCTCTTGCGTATTGGTACGTCAGTCTACTGGAGCGCCCCGTGAGTCGTTTTTAGACCTGACCTTCTCCTCAAATGCTGCTCGATCATCGGAAGATATCGTTGCTCTGACTAGAATCTTTTCTGAATGCCATTTCTCCCAGCAGCGTTTACAAATTGCCTGTCTGCATGTCACACACCACTGTCGCATTCGTGCTCCCCCTTTCTTCCTTAAAATGCGTCTGTTCAGCTTTAACGAATAGCTGTATGAACATAAAGAACAGTAGCTATCCTTTCCTTTGACTCTCTGGTGTGAACTGTATCCTGTCAATCTTCGAGCAACGTCTGCGGGTCGATTGTACTTGGATACCGCATCCTTGACGTACAAAGGCACAGAATTGAACTGCACGCTCCTATTTCTACTTACATGACTTTGACTCTCTGAAGCTGTAAAATCCCTAGCAAGATGGCGAGCAAAACTGGATATTGTTGAGCATCTCGACACATTGTGTCGCACAGCGTTATAACCTTGCAAATAACCATTCTTGTAGGTCTCAAAATCTGGAAGAGCACCTTGCGCTTTTGCTACAGAGAAGAGATGTACCACCGCGACGTTGCTCACCTGAGCACAGAGTAACCTTCCCAACACGCTAACAATTGGGTTTTCGGAAGCGTTGTCGTATGCCAATTTCTTTAAAGCCCGACTAAACTCGTCTACACCCCCCTTGACATGATTCCAAAACACCAAATTTGATGGACGTATCATTCTGGCTAGTGGAAGTGGCCCGTGCTGTCCGATCAAATGCTTGTAGGCTTGACTTAAACTATAAAAAGATCAAAAGGAATACAAGTCCGTCGCGTGTGTATTTGTGAGCAGCTCGTCGTACTCTCTCGGGATCAGTCGTGCGGACTTCCCGACCCATTGAAAGCAGGAAAAGCGCAAGGATTCTAGAGAAAACTTATAATTGGCGATGAAAGATTCATGAAATTCGAGAAGGACAGAGTAAATTAATTTCCCAATTCCCAGTTCGCTGCCCTTGGCAATCACTAGTAAGACCCGCGGTTTTCCGAGAACATCACAATGGTGTAGGCATTGCAATGTGTACTGTGTCGTGGGAACCACATCACGAAACACACGTAGTGTTTCATCACAGCGACCAACAGAATTTAAACGTAGAATCGGACCGTATCTCTCTCGGGTATTCTCAGTTTTCTGAATAGTTCCCAATGCCGCCATAGTTTTGACTTCAATTGACCAAACGTTGATATCGTTGATATCGTCCTGAATCGCTGCGACACTATCTGGACTTCCGGCAATAATACTTGAAGACTTGGAGCCAATCACGCCAACAGAGCATATGTATTTCGCACAGTAGCGCATCGTCGAACCACTAAAAACTCCCAGAGCCATATTACGATCAAAGAAATCTGGCAGACCTTGTAGAACTTGAGTTTCGTTCGCGGAGCCCTCTTTCATCCCCGGAGTGCTTGTCAATGGCTTCATAAACCATGACCCTAGAGACGCAGTATACATTGCCCGACGAAATCTCCTCCAGCTTGCACCTCTACGCTCCTGATGGGTAATGTTGGTCTGCTCTGTCACATTAATTTGAATGGCACCGCTGATGAGACCCTGTCTTAATTCCAACAATTTCGAAACAATCTGGGGGCGGCGTGTACACGCAGGTTCCCTGTATCCTAGCGTGCACTGAAGGGATGAAAGATGTCTGACAGTGACTCTTCTGTCGCTAAGAGATTCTAGACTGCAGTTCCGCAACTCCTGGATGGCATCTGTAGTCGCGCCCTCGTCTGTACCAACTCGCTTTTGAAATCCCAGCGCGGCTGTTACGTCATCCCATTTGAATTTGATGGTAGATTCCGCCTCTTCGTCGTTTTGTGGTAGTGCTTCTGTGCCTCGAATGACGATTTGCTCACGTATCAACTCCGAGATACCATAAGTGTGCTGGTCAAATGTTGCACAAAAACCAGTAAAAAACGCATGAGTACATAAAAGCTCTCGCCAAGAACCACCACGGGTCTTCTGACTGAAGCAAGGTCAGGTGCTTCACACTTGAAAGTGCAAAGCCGACTCGCAATCGATCCACAGACATATCCAAAAAATGGGCACTTCTGCTACCGCTCCACATTCTGTTAATACTCTGCTCAACTCCTGTAGCACTGTAAATTTCCTGAAAGTGTTCAGCCGTTCTCTCACTATCGTTGCGGCCAGTCTTCCAGCGATACTCACTTTTTAGGATTAACGTAAACAAATGTGCGCCAAACAAACTCGTATTGTTGTGGTACACTGCCGCCACACGTCCTGTAAAGCTTTCCCTGTACACAATCGCTTGAATCTTTTTCCCTGATGCTCGAGCCTGCTTTCGTATTGCGCTATAGACCGCCCTGCAGCCTTTTTCACTAATTTTCATACCCTTGTGTCTTTTAGATATAGGTCCGTCACCAAAGACAAACGGATAATCCAAACTTCGCTTGTGCGTGCCAATTCCAGTGGCACCGAGAGTGCCATTCAAGAAATATACAGTTTCCTTTTCGTTATGGCCTCTGTCCGCAGCAAAGAACGCGTCGCTCATTGGTGCTATTGCGCCTGGTGTTGCAGCGCCTTGCAACAGTTGGACAAGTTTTTACCATACGTGAATAATGTTTTCTCTCGGCCTTGAGTAGTGACTGGCAAGAAATGCCGAGGTCAATGCAGAGCACAGGGCGTTATTGACGGGCCCCAAGGCCTTCTGAGGATTGTTAAGTTGTGACAGGTTTGTACACTGAGTAACCGCTCGTGAATGTAACCGCTGATGATCGTTGTCTAAGCTCAGAATAGTTTGACCTGGTATGTAAAGTATCGCGCGGTTGATCACTGCAAGTTCGTTTTCCAGCTTTGTAATGAGCTGGTTTCCTAACACGGGCCTATTTTGCCATCCGTCTCCCAAGTGCTGAACTCTTTGCCTCCGTTCCGTTGTCCCACTTAACGCCGACCAGATGTCATTGTACCGTTGCCTGCTTAGTTCCGTTTGAAAATAGAAGTCCTGATTCTCTGGGGCTGTTATGGTCGCCACATTGCTTCCATATGATGCTGCCTGGACGTGGGTTATTATGACTTTTCTTATCTCGTTCACAGTCGTAGGAGAATTTTTTCGTGCCTTCAGTACCCTGTTAAAATGTGCTTGGAGCTTACAAAGGAAGGCGTCCGGCAAAAAAATGTTCAAAATCCCCAACAGCGACAACAAACTCTCTGTGACGATCTGATCTTCCTTTGCGGTGACCTTAATTTCTCGTGCAGCGTTTTCTAAGACGCCATTCGCCTCCCGCACAAAGCGCTCACCTAACAGTTGATCAGCGTCGTCCAGCTTGATTTGTACGTCGTCAAAAGCAGAGGCGTACTCCCACCCAGGCAAACCACCATGCCGCTGTGCTAAAGAACGTGCAGATGTGCTTCCTCGAAAATCGCGGTCACCTTCCGACGCAGCAGCAATTTTACTCGACGTAGGCCCCTGCAAATCATCTCTCACAGTTCCTTCTATGTCAGTGGCTTCCCATAGACTTTCTGTCGGCTCAGAAAAAATGGCAGACCAAAAGTCTTCAGTTGCGAGTCTTCTCGCCACATTCTCGTTTGACGGAATTAATTCTCTAACATTCGGCTGCTCAGGAACTGCATCTCGGTACAGTTGCTCTATTTCATGGTCCGAAATGACGATTTCTGCTTGAGAAAGTGATTCATCAGAGCGGTGTTCATTTTCTCGAGAGCA